GTTGTTAAAAAGCATACCCTGAAAGTGATGTCTAATTTCTTTTAGGGTTTCTAAATGCAACGTTTCACATAGTCAATACAGCGGTCTGTGATGCCTCCATAATCACTAGTGTTTAATAATTATTGGATCGAGATTAAATCATCAGTTATATCTTATTCATTAACTTAAACTCGAATCAACTAACTGTTTTAAAACGCTTTTACTAGAGAGATGTTTTCACACTCTTATAAGGAATGTTTTGTTTTCCTCTCTAACCAATGTGAGATTTCACAATCCACTTTCGTTAGTGACCCAACGTCATTACAGGCACACCGTTCAATGTCGATAGAATTTTAAATATTTCAATTACGTGTAATAAATTATTTTAGTAATTTTATTATTTTTTATAAAATTTATTTAATAAAATCTAATGTGATAATTTTTTTAGTTCAAAATAAATATTTTACTTCAAATTTGTAATACATAATTACTCTATTAAAAGTAATAATTATAATTATTATTGGCTATAGTTTGAAGAATGTGACGTGAAGCGAGGGCACTAAATTCAATATATAATAAAATATTATTTATTTACTTTTAATTTTGATAAATTTGTCACAATCTAAATAATTAAATAAAGGTGGACCTTGTATCTTAAAAGGAGTTCATTGCTTTAATTTTTGTTTGGCTTCCCCTTTACAACACCCCTTTAAATAACAATAATAATAATATAAAAAATAATCGGTTTCTATTTCATATCCTCGAGATTACATCTCATTTACTCGGGAGTTACATACTCATACTCCAAATAATTTTCTTCGATCTTCGTAATGGTAGGATACTATGGTGTTCACGTTGAGTGGAAGCTGTTTAAAAGGAAGCTTAAAAAGGACAATATCTGCTAGTAGTGGACTTGAGCTGTTAAAAATGGTATCAGACTCAGTCACTAAACAGTATGAGACACTAGTCGGAGTAGGACTAAACCCTCTCTGTAATAGACGTTTTAAAACTGTTAGGCTGACGACGATACGTAATAAGCCAAAGTGAATAAGACAAAATGAAATAATTGCATAATAAAAGTGGAGGAGACTAGGAGAATCTAGAATAAAATGGAACATTGGATAATTATTTATATGGTTTTGATAATATTAATAAAGATGAAGATATGATTATGATTATTGTCATATGGGTTTTATGTATGCATCAAAATATGTCCAAAATTTTGTCACACTTTATTTTACCTAATTAATATATATAATATCTTTATTGGATAAACACAATAAAAATATGAAAATTCAAATTCATAAATTATTAATAGGCCCTTAAATTTTTTATTAAATATAAATATAAATTTTATGTTTATAAAATCGTTTTTGTTAATTATATTTCAAATTATTATGATTATTTTTATTGTTATTATTATTTATCGTTTGTTTTTTAAATTTTAATATCCCAATTTGGCAACATGCAAATACGTCCATTCCAATCGTCCTAAATGAATATTCTTCCAATTTCCCAAAAATCCTATTTTCGTCTTTTTTTTTCTATTATTATATTTTCTAATTTTATTTTTATACCATTTATATTAATCGAAATTACCATTTTATAGATCGATGGTTGGATCTTACTATTAAGAAAAAATTACAAAAATTTATGTATATTAAAATATATATTGACCTTTTGAGAGGTTGATTATAAAAAAAAAAAAAAGTAAAAAAGAAAATTGTATTAATTTTAAATATTATTTATATATATTTGGTGAATGAATGTATTATTTTTAGAACTAATTTAGAGTTAACTAAAAAAAATCCTAAATTATACGAAAATAAAGTTATTAGAAAAAAAAAAGATTAATATAAATTTGATTAAACACGTGATTAGATGCTTCATTACTTCACTTAACCTTTTGTTGTGGTCCCACTTTCCACGAAGCCAAACTTAAATTAATTTCTCCAATGCAATCATTTTTACTCAATTTAATGAGTTTTTTTTTAAAAAAAAAAAAAAAAACGTAATCTTTGATTTGGGGCAAGTACGTACGTGATTTTACATCAGTTAGTTGGATGATTTGTATGTTGTATGAATGATATGTTTCTTGTGACGCTAGTCCTTGCACGTGTCAGATTTTATAATTGTATGACGTGTATTATGTTACGTGACAAAAGTTATGATATGATATAAGTTATACTATGATATGATTATGTTAAATGATGCGTGAAAGTAGATCGTCCTATAAAGTAAAACCACGATATAAAATTAGAACACTTGAAGATGGGGTTAAAATGGGAAAATCAAAGGTCTAGAAAAGTCCAAGAACACTTTAGCACTTCAACATATAATTATATGAAATATTATTTTAATTATAATTTAAAAAATATTTTATAATCTACTAAAAGGCAATAAGGGATCAAATATATAACTATTTATTTGCTTTGATATATATATATATATAAAGTCTTGTGTTTTATAATTAAATTTAAATGAAAGTGGCAAACATCATCCTAATTAAATAAAAGTTATTTGTTGCTATTATTAGTTTTTCCTATTTTTATATTATTTAATTTAATTTATATTTAATTAAAGAAGATTCTAAAAGAGGTTAAAACTTTGATTATTCCTCCCAAATTGGCAACTCTTCCCCACTTTCCAACCATATATTATTACGAAAATATGGTTTTAATTAAAAAAAGGGAGTTTATTAATAATTAATATTAAATTAAATTTTAGGATGAAATAAGTGGGAGAAAATTAAGAAATTTAATTTATAGGCTTCATAAAATATTTAATAAGTCAAGAATATTAAAAAAATTTAACGTCGTGATTGAGATCGGTTAGTAGTAAAGAATTAGTTTGAATGTCTCTTTTCACTCTCACTACTTTCGAACTCGTTTTTTTTAGTCTAAATCATTAACTCTTGTCGTTCTTTTTATAAATAACCAAACATGTCCTTAACGGGATGATACTGACTTTAATCTAGGCGTTGCATAGTTGTCATCAGCTCGTATCTTAATTTAAATACTTGGAAAATTATTTCATATAGGATACCAGTATTTTAAATAATGTATCACGTCGTTCAAAAGTGATAGACGTGTCGGGTAAATATGTTTAATTTAGATTATTTATTATTTATTTTTAGACAAGGATAGGGAAGTTGATTTTGACATTTAATTGTGAGCTTTGTTATTTGTGGATGAAGAGAATATTGGGTGTGGCCAACCAAATCTTGCAAAATCGTGGTTTCACTAAATATCATTTTTGTCTCTTTTTTTTCCACACATTTAATTATTGTAATTATATATATATAGAATTAAATAATTATATAAATTTTCTCGACTATTTGACACATACAATTTTAAATTTGTGTCGGATTCATCTCTAAATTTTAAAAAGTTTTTTTTATTAAACTTTAATTTTGTGTTTAATATAGATATATTCGAAATTTTTTAAAATTAATTTATTTTGATATATATTTAAATTTTATATTTAATACAACTTTAAAGTTTTAACTTCATGTCGGGATAAATTTGTGATAGTTCACCGCTCTTTCTAAAGAAAAATAAACAATATGCAATTTTTACCCTTTTTGGTTTAAATTTTAATACTGGTTTGCATCTTAGTAAATTAAAAGTTACCATATGGTTAAATTTTGTCCCCCATTTTTAATTTAGATTAATGAATTTTAAAACTTAGAAAAACATGCTTAGTCAAATAATGTGTATTTGCAAAACATAACATTAATTCATGTTTTACAAAAATTAACTATTCAATACGTGGCTTTTGCAAATTACATAATAAACTATATTTATTTAAATAATAATGAAAATAATTATTACTATAAGTAGAATTGTCAAAGTTAATAATGATTCGGTAGGTACCTGGTAGCCTTGTCATAAAGGAAAATTTCTAGAAGGTCGTCTAACATAGAATTATTCTAAACAAAACACGTTTAACCATTAAATTCTTATGATCGAGACATTGAAAAATACAACAATATAGGTAATAACTTTTATTTCATTTAAGTTTTTCTTAATCATACTATCTTCAAGATCGTTCTAATTCGTGTGTTGTTTCAGTTCATTTATGTATCTCTTTTTTTACTTGGGTGTCACTCCCACACTCTCTAATAATGACGACAAAATAGTTATATTACGATATTTTTATTTATTCGATAACATGTAATTGTAAAATGACCTCATTAAAAAAAAATTATCTGATTTCTGAACATATAATTACTAATTTATATTCGCTTTTATGGTGTTATTTTAATGCAAATGTAAATTTAATATATGTATTATTTTAGTTCAAAGAAAATAATAAAATTTTTTAAAAAAAATAATCAAATCTTGGATAAAAAAAAATATGAAGTTATATTCAAAACTGAAAAAATTATTTAATTTATCTTTATAGCATTTAAATTATTAACTAATTTTAATCCATATTTAGTGACAACTGACAGCTCACTCGTTAGAATTTGGATTCAGTCAACCTATTTTAATTTATTAAATCCAAACAAAAAAATAATAAAAAAATATTTTAAAATCACCTCCTTTAATCCAAATTCAATAAAAATGAAAAGAAAACATAAAATAAATAATTTTCGTATTTTTTTTTTAAATTTTAATTGGGGATTTTAATTTTCCAACTAATTTAATATTGAAAGAGACAAAAAAAAAAAAAAAAAAAAAAAAAAAAAAAAAAAAAAAAAAAAAAAAAAAAAAAAAAAAAAAAAA